TCCATACATTGGTAATGTCTGACTGGGCCTCGTGCCACTCTATGTTCAACAAATGGGCCCCGAGGTTAAAAAGGTTAAGAACCCCTGGTGTGAGTCACATAAGTTATGTTTAAGTTTTGAATAAGTTACAGACACTCATGTTGGCATCTGCTGACGTGTTGTTTATAAATTATGCATAAATTACAGGTATGAGACAGGTAAGTTGTGCATAAGTTTACACACGTCTCATATAAGTTATTCATAAGTTGACATACATGGAAAACCACATGAGAAATTGCRTAATGAACATATTGGCATAAGTTCTCTAAAACCTAACAAATGTGACAGGGCCTTGAGAGAGTTAATAAATAACACTTACTCTTATCAGGACTGAAATGTTTATGTAAAGCCAAAATTAACATTGTATTTCCCCTCTTAGTTTTCTTTTCAAAGAYGCAAATTCAACCAGCTCTCCAGCTGTGCGTGACAAACGGTGCTAGTGTTTGAGRATCCAACAGAAATCTGGAAGGATTTTTCTCTAACAGTGTTAGTAAATTACTRGGGGTGCACCGATAAACATCTGGCCAATTTATCGGCACTGATTTCCTTAATTTTGGGAGATTGGAGATCGGACTAAACTTGGATAAGATCAGTTTGTATTGTTTCAAGGGTTTTGTTCAATGTTTTTCAATAAAATAATATTGGAACATTGAAGCTGTATTGTGATCTTATAACACCTGACAGTGTAAGGTATTTTAAAAAATCAGTATCAGCCAAAATCAAAATCAGCAGGTCAGACTTAATAAAGATCAGTGATCGGCCAGAAAACTACAATCGGTGCACCCTTAAACATGACACCAGTGCAGGGACACTGTGGTTACAGCCAAGTTCAAGACACAGACTCTCAGTCTGAAAGATCAGYGAATCCCTTCTGAGAACTTTTAAACAGCTGACATGATTCTTTTCTTGTTTGTTGAAAAAGCTTTGTAAGGCGTTTTCTCAGTTCCTGTGTAGATTAGAGAAAATCCASAGTCCAAACTTGTGTACCCAAAAAACATCATGGAAATTATATGTGATCTCATTCCACCTTGAGTGAAGAAGACTTCAAAATAAAACAATATCCAAATTATTCTCAAACAAAATTCAAAACTGGGGTTTAAATCTGTTAATAAAATTCATGAACTTTTTTGTTTTTAAGTCAGTCTATGGGATTTTTCCATGATCTTATTCCTTTGATAAAAGAATCTCAAAAAATAGAAGTTTTAATAAAGATGCTGATCCAACTCACTGTCATCTAAATAGTCCTCCTCCTCATCTTCTTTCCTCATTCTTCGTTTGGTTTCTTCATCATAAATGTAACCCAGGATGTTGGCGGGGCTCTCACTATCTGAGTGACACAGTTCACTGAGTCTTGTGCCGATTGCCTGGAACGTCAAACACGTTTATGATTAAAAAAAAGCTGCGTTATAAATCGTGGTTTTGCACATTTGTGTGAAACGTTTAACCCACATCTCCCCACTGGCAGAAATGTTTGGCAGCGTTCCACTGGAGCTTCTGGTTTCTTTTGTTGCCAACTATCGGGGATCGGCCCCTGGATAAGCCTTTCTTAGTGATGTTTACATGGTGGCCCTTCATCCACTCTGGCCAATTGCCGCGGTTACAGCGGTGGACAAATCGGGCGCATTCAAGGAAAAGGGAAGCCCGCGCCACAACAGGAGCCTCCTAAAAGTACGTAAACGTGGAATGATTAAACAGCTCGGTGCAGCTTGTTTATATCATTTTTTAACGAGAAACGTACCAAGTCGAGAGCGGCAGCAAGGATGGAGGCGTCAGGGATGGTTCCCGGCTCGCAGCAGTTCAGGAGGAACTGAAAGCGCTTCATTCCTTGTCGGATCGCACCTAGATTCACCACATTTTTGTTTTTCATGGCCTCCTGACTGGCTGCCAGTCGCTCCTGAAAACCATGAGGACCTGGAGGGTGAGAGGAAAGAAAGGAGGGAAAAGAAAGGGGTATAACGCAGCAAGTGAAAGGATTTATTTTTGCTGAGAAATTATGAATTATTGACTCTTAAGACTCTGCATGAAGCAACATCCAGAACATTTAACAAGTTCCACCAAAAGAGCCACTGACAAATGAAGCTGAGATGACCCACAGCCACGGGCAAATTACACTTGAGTTTTTCCTTTTCTGCTCTCACGAGAACTCAGCAGTGAGAAAGAAAAAATATATAAGAAACAGACTGGACTGACGAGGACACTCTCCAGCATCCTGATATAAGGATATATACAGTGGTGGGCACAGCTCCGGTAATTCGCTAACAGAGGAGCTAACTTTTCATTTAGCAGGCTAGCGTTTTCRCTAASTWAACTGTTAGCGGACCAATTAGCTTCMTCTAAATTTAGTTCTGCTAACKTGAAGTCTGTTAAAAACAAAGCACCTATCCCCTCACACATGTAGCMCTGCACACCTGCATCACGCACCTTGTGTGTGTGTGGCATTTTGTGTATCCACCTGCGTTAGTCTTCAATAGAAAGCGGACAAAGATGTTATGCAGATCGAGTCATAGTCATCCGCTCAAACCCTTGTAATATGGTCAGAAAGGATCATTTTGGAYGAGGAAAATGTCCTAAAGCTGTGGTTTAGTGAATCSTGGTTGGATTGTGATGAAACGTATAGTTTTCAAATCTGTTTGTGCTTTCAGCAGACATGTTGGTTGTGTGTGAAGAAGCCAAGGGTTGAACAGCGGAGACCAAGTTTTTTTGTTTACGTGACTTTGTGCAATTTGGTTACCTGCCGATTGAAATGCTTATGGTTTTAACTGAATTTAGTGGTCATAAAATGTTTTTATGTGCTTTTAGCCAACAATCTGATGTTTCTGTGGATACCAAAYGTCTATGTTTAAATGGTAAATCTTAAGTTAGCCATTATCAGTTAGCATTAGCTTCCGGTAATTTTCTTACATGTTTAGAGGTTTAGCATTTGCAAAGTTAACTTTCTGGTTACCAGTGCCCACCACTGGATATACAGTATATCCTTTTCAGAAAATCCCAGAAGTTAAATTAAAATGACAAGTGCAATATTTGCCACACAGAATACAGCTGTATGCAGATGATACCGTTTTCTCACTGAAACTCTGGAAAAAAATGCCACCAGACATCACACCACAGAAGAGACGGACGGAGCACCGACATGCCTGTAGAAGCACAGAAATATGCTCGGCAGCAGAAAGATGGTCCTCTAGATACAAGACAGACAAGGCCTTTCTTCTCTTTTTACTGCAAAGTGAAAAAGAGGAGTAGGTACGATGTTGGAAAGAACAGGAAGTGCATAGCTGGAAAGAAGGAAACGTGGAGTTGGGAACAACATGAGGTTCTAAGAAAGTTGGCCCAAATCTGAATGCGCTTTTTTTTTCTTCCAATCAGAGCTTTAAAATGTGCAGCCACTCTAGTAAGAAGTGGCGTTTTAGATACATCTGAATATCTGTAGTTGTGATCTTTGGAGCTTTATGCACGCTTTGCACAAAAAGTTTCAAAAAGCCAGTGGGAACATTTGCACTGATGGCACCTACAGTTCATTCTCATAAATATAATCCCAGTTGCTTTAATGTATTATAGGTCAGAAAACCTCGTGTTCTAGTACTAAATATTCTTTAAAATGTCTCAAAATATTCTCAAAGTGGTTGCAGTCAAATGAAACATTTATCCGTTTAGTTTCATTAAAACAAAGCACTAGAATAACATGCTGACATTTGAGGCTACGGCCCCAAATGCCCAGGTCTAACAACCAAGCTAATGACAAATACGTAAATATTTTTGAAAAACTTGTCTGAAATCAGCCCATCCACTCTACAAAAGTGTACTCGAGTACACTGATAGATAGGCTGCCAAGGCATTAGGTACAAAGCAGGCTGAGGAAGATTCGATGTAAGAGGTGGGCAACAAAATAATATGTGCAGCCTAGAATACAGTTTTGCAAGCAGTGAACACAAAAATAGGCTGTGACTTTCACAAGTTGGCTGCTCAAAACATGGCCACATGGCTCATTGGTTGCAAACACGTCAAAATTTTTGACACTGCAACAAAAACATTTCCTTTCCCAAATTATTCTCCAACAGTGACGCCCCAATGAGATGCTACCAAAGTTAGGGTTACACAGGAACAAAATCAAGTTATACTAAACTATTTGGAGGGTCAGAGCACAGGGAAAGTAACCCTGATAGGCAGGTTGGTMCAATAAGGTTTAGATGTTTAGTTTGATTACAAACCACTATTTGGCTTTCTTTTTCMTTTTTTAGCCACATCTTGTACTCCTTTTATTTGCCCCAACTAATGCCTGTTTATGATATTTGGGCTCTGTTTTGTTTACAGAGCACTTGCTGTAACCAAAGTTAGGTCTGACTCAGATGTTAGACACATTTAGCTCACGTTACATTTATCAGTGCTGTATTTGAGTTGCAAACATGGCCTAAAAGTGTCATTTGGGGAGGTTGTTTAATTTCGTRAACTCAACCACAAGAGGATATCAGGCTTGGCCCACATCTGTGCTATAACTGAGCTACAGGACCCAGATAGGACCTAAATAGGGATGCAAGTTATTGATAATTGAATTAAACTAAAGTTGATTGGTCTTACTGATTGATTAATTGGTAAGTGGCCATTTTCTTAAAAACCTGAGTTTTCACATGTAAAATTTATGATTTTTCTCTGATTCTTTACTTTTTGCTGCCTTCTTGTTGGTTCTCTTTGTGGATAAAACATTTTTTTTACTTTGAGAGGAAAGTGGGTCTACCTGGACTCCAGGTGTTCTCTGTGGCTGGAACATAAACACCCTACTCTGTTCTCCAGAGCTCTGATCCTTGGCTCTATTGACCCGTTTAAGTGAGGTTCTGGAACAGGTCTCCCTTCCTTCCTCCCTCCCCTACTGTCAGTGCTGCTCGCTCTTTTTTGTTTTTCTTCATCCCTCATCTTAAATGTAATTTCATTGTGCTCTGTACAAGGACAATAAGGCATCATCATCATCTTGTAAATTTTTTTGCTGCTTGACAAATAACTTTGGGCCTNCTCTGATTCTTTACTTTTTGCTGCCTTCTTGTTGGTTCTCTTTGTGGATAAAACATTTTTTTTACTTTGAGAGGAAAGTGGGTCTACCTGGACTCCAGGTGTTCTCTGTGGCTGGAACATAAACACCCTACTCTGTTCTCCAGAGCTCTGATCCTTGGCTCTATTGACCCGTTTAAGTGAGGTTCTGGAACAGGTCTCCCTTCCTTCCTCCCTCCCCTACTGTCAGTGCTGCTCGCTCTTTTTTGTTTTTCTTCATCCCTCATCTTAAATGTAATTTCATTGTGCTCTGTACAAGGACAATAAGGCATCATCATCATCTTGTAAATTTTTTTGCTGCTTGACAAATAACTTTGGGCCTTGGTCAGKAAAAACATTAGAGGGTTTTTATCTTTTTGGCTGGAGAGAAGGATGAAACTGAGGTGGGTTTTTTCCACAGGAACGTGTTTCCTGCTTGCAACAGGATGCAACCCTACACATATCAAATCAGACCATCATTTTAAGAAAATAAAATGTGGCATTTACTATTTATCATAACTCCGGTTCTGCTTTGCCTAACAACACAATTTAAAAACTGGTTTAAAGGTTGAAGTCTCTACTTTTGACTTGAGTTGAAACAAAGTCTCAGAGAAGGTGTCTCACTTTCCGGTTAGAGTGATTTAAATGGACYGTGTTRTGCACCGGTGGATGTTATCAGTTTAATTGACAGGAACATAGACCTAAATCTGAATCTAGGTCAGGAAATCAGGAATCTGATTCCTGGTGTGGATCAAAGTAACGGATCACTGGCAACTCCAGCTACATGACAATACTGAAAATAAGTGTTTTATAGCTTAAAATAGGAGCTTAGAGTCAACTGTCTCTCGTGTGCCATCATTGCATTKTTATAAATGACTTTCTGGAGGCTTTTTGTAGCAAAGAGATTSACAAATACTGTATGATTCAAACACAGACTACACTCAGCAGCAGACATGGAGGATGGTGGACAGAGGATCCGTCAGTGCGGAACAGACCACCATGACTCGGTGAGGAGGGACAAGACACMACACCACACGGACAGACAGAGACGAGGACAAAAAAAAGGAGGAGGAGACAAAGGACGGTGGAGTGTGGGACACCCCGGGATGGGGGAGGTCTACCATCTTTCTCTTCTGTGTGGTGAAGCTTGGATGGATTCCTCCTGCCAGACCTCCATTTACCGAGCCGCTTGAAGAAATTCTCCTCCTCGTCCCGGCCGTACTCCGGCCCCGCAGCGACCCCTTCGGACAGCTTCACTGCACTCGTGAACTTCACCTGGAACGCATGAACGCAAAACAGCTAAAACATCAGGTGGGAGGAGCTGCGTCATTCACATCGTTGTCTCAAAGGTTTCACCAGAAACARTTGAACTTCATTTATTACAAACATTTCATAAGAAAAGGAAAATGTAAGAAGTTGTGCACAAAAAAGCTTAACAGCTGAAGGGATGAGTTGTGCAAAAGAAAACAGAAGCAATTCAAAAAGAGCAGAATACGTAAAAATATTCAACTAAGTGACTTTAGTAAAAAATAAACAATGAAATAACCAATAAAATAATGAAGAGTTTAAAAATAATAAAAGGCTTAAAATATTCAAACAGAAAAAAATCCCTAAAATCAGAACTTGTAAAGCCCAAATTGCTTGCATTTTCAGCACAAAGTTCCACTGAGCCTGTTTCTTCTCTCTGTGGTGTTCATGGGCACGTTCTCAAGGAGTAAAGAGGAGGCCATCTGGTTTAGGAACCTTGGCTCTTTGTAGCTTTCAGATGATATTGTTCTGTTTTTGTGTCTTCAGGCTTTGACCTTCATCATGCACTAGGCTGGTTCACAGCTGAGTGTGAAGTATATCAGAGTCAGCTCCTCTAGTAACCTCRTCACACATGAACAGTCTTGTTATAGATTTTCCAATGCTGGTTATGTAAAAGTTACACGGTCACACTGTTGTAAGAAAAATATGTGTTCAATAGACTGAAGTCAATATTAAAAACACCATTGTTAAATAAAATGATTTGTGGAAGGAATCAAACCATMCAACACCAGAAYTCTGGAACTGAGTGAGKTTTAATGTCACCGGAGCTGACAGGAAACCACACTGGCGACAAACCAGGAAGTTAATCAATTTATGCAGGGTCTTCAATGCCTGAGTTCACCCCCTACTGACCTACGGCTGAATCACAGGCATTCAGACAAAATTCTCACCTACTGTTCTCATAACGGTTGATTATGTGTTGTCATATAATTCAGACATGTAACTGAACCTATTTCAATCAAAACATAATAGATTAAACATTATCAACATTATAAAAAGGAAAACCTAAAATTATAGTGTTGTGCTTTTAACATCAGTACTAACCTCTAATAACTTTAAATTTCTTCACTGTAACACTGTAGATCACAATCTCCATTTAGATGAGAAACATTGAATCTGCTATAGTTTCAATGCCAGGTCACTAGCTGCCACTTTGATTTTTGTATTTAAACATGCACATAAACAATTCAGTCTCAATCATGAGAACAGTTAAATTCTAAATGTTGACTATATRAATGTTTGTTTGCACTGATGTTGAGGCTGAGCTACACTTAACTTTAAATTATAAATCTGAAAGATTCAGGAAAGTGTACACTGGGAGTCTTCTCAGATCAAACATGACAATTTGTTTCTGCTGTCTGCCTTTGTTGCTGTTGTTTATCTTCTCGTGCAAGCAAAGAAAAACTAGTGACTGCAGCCATCTGTGGTGTGCATGTGCGATTTCACACCAATACCAGTTGTTTCCAAAAACCTCCACTCTGAGACCTGGACTGACGATGTTTTGTAGTCAGAGGAAACGACTACTGTTGTGAAAACAAACAACAGAAACACTCAACAGAAATTCCTTCATAAAAGTTATGAACGCCCAAATTTTAGATGTTTCCCTGCTTTGACACACTTGGTTTGAATGAACGAGTTGCTTAAAATAAGAAAAACAACTAAAACATATAGGATAGTGGCCGTTGAGGACCAGGACTTGACACCACTGTATTAGTCCCCAGTAATGAGGATGTTGCTCCAGTTTGTCGTGGTGAAGAAGGAGAAAAGTTCTTGACTTATTGGTTCGACTACATTCCAACTCACATTTGGCTACAAGGTCACCTATAATCATGATTGAAAAAAACAGATGTTGGATGAAAACAGCTGAAAGGAGATTCCTCTGTTCAGTGACCAGGCTCAGCCTTAGAGGTAGGATGAGCAGCTTATGGTCATTTTCACTGTAAGGCCTGGCCTAGCCTTATTGTACCCCGGCTCAGGGTGTTTTTGCTTTGAGCACAGTGCCACCTCGACGTGGGCAGGGATCACGATATTAAAAATGGGCAAATATTATGTCATTTTAGTGACACAACGATGGACAACATTGAGCTTGTGGGAAAGGTACCCAAGACTGTATTGTACCATCCAGCAGTATGACGAAGAAGATGAGAGGGCAGGACGACCGAGGACAGAAAGCTCACCCCAGATTTACATTACTTGCGTTCCGTCTCCGCTCCGCTGCGGTGCGCAGGTCRCAGCTGCACCGTTTCAAGTCCAGTTTACACTACCTCYGCTCCGCTCCGGTCTGACAGACGTGCAGGAAGCAGATCACGTGATAAATTCAGTGATAAATGTGGAAGTCACAGCAAAAAATAATAAATTCTGTGAAAGACGAACTCCAAACACAGCTGAAAACAATGATATAAAGGCTTTTAATATCTATGTTGAAACTGTCTCGCTGTCGGCTTTCTGAAACTTCTGATTTCAAAATAAAATCCACGTGTATCGTGTGTGTACACATAGCTTCATGCTACATGTTTCCATCTGCTTCCCAAACAGAACGATACATTCTGACAGCATTTGTGTAGAAATATATCCGTATATTTATTAATATAGCTGCACTTTCGACATTATTCCGAGAAATTATTCCGCCGAATAGTGTCTTATTTTGAAAATGCAGATGTTGTGCTCATTTYTTTTCCTGTTGGTGCGACGTAATCTTTAAAACCTGACTCCGGCGCAGCTCCGTCGTCCAGCAAAGATAGGATCTGTTCTAATTTTGACGGATCGCCGTCCGCAGCCAGTGTAAACACTCTCATTGATTATGATGGGTGCGTATTTGCTGCGGAGGTCGGACCGGAGCAGAGCGGAGATGGAACACATGTAGTGTAAATTAAGGTAGCTAATGTTAACTTGTTGTTGTTGGAATCTTGCTGGAGTTGTTGCTTAGTTAAACTCAAGTAAAAAATCTTTACAATCGTTGCAAARTATTTAAGTAAATTTAATCTCATCTGTGTGACGTATAAACCAATCAAGAAGCAAAAGTAGCTGACGTCTAATCAGGCCTAGCAGCCTGGCCCGAATAGATYGACAGGTTTCTGAGTTCCTAAAATTGGGCTGGAATTGGGTCATAATGGCTAATGCAAATACAGAGAACCCAGGTTTGAACCCAGACTGGGCCTTACAGTGCAAAAAGGCCAATAATTATCTGGGTACGAGCTTGGAGTAGACCCCCTGCTCCTCCCCATCAAAAGGAGTCAGCCACGTTGATGCCGAAATCGTGCCCTGGGTGCCTCCCATCGCTGAAAGGAAACCTTTGGAAGTGCTATAAGGTGTCACTGGGTACAGTGATATCTGGGTTTCCTTCTTGGTCAGCTGCTGTCAAACCCAACCATAGAAGATGATTTATGGATGGGTGAATGTTTGCGATCGTAGCGGGAAGATCAGTCTGTCTTGTGGAAACTGACTTTTGAGCTCTGACGGATGAAGGAGAGTCGATCCACCGAGCTGATATCCAGCAGGTCCTCGACGCCATCCGTCAGTCCAGACAGAGAGGAGCGCTTCAGCCAGTTTCCTGGAACAATCAGGAACATAAACACCTGATATTACAGAACACATCCAATCATAAACAAACCAAACACTGTGGGTTGGGAATACAATGCATGCAGGGTCAAATATCAGACTGAAAACACACAAAGGGTTTGAAAAACTTGACAAAAACCCTGGCTGAGTCTTTTGTTTTGTATTTAAATAGATGTGCACCAGATTAGGCATTAAAAAAAGAAAGAATCAACTCATTATGCAATAATTAGAAAAGCAATAAAGCTAACAGTTTGAAACTTTCAGACTTGAAGGCAAGATGCATCACAGAGAAAAGCAGCTGGTTGTCCAGATGACATAATTACAGTTATATAAATAACAGGCATAAAACGTATGCTGTCTCATTTGTTCACATTTTAAAAACTGCATCACATCTGTGAAGGTAATTTAGTTTTTTATTATTCGATCAATTTTTTTCAATCAAAAAAATTCTACCAAAAACAAATAATTTCAACCAAAAAGAATAATTTCAACCAAACAAAAAAAGCTATTTCAATTAAAAAAACAATTCAATCATTTTTTTCCACAAGTCAGAAATCTTTGGTATGGAGCCCATGAGGGGACATGGGAGATTTTTTTTCTTTTGCGTTCCCACACAGTAGTATTGCGTTACCTCGCAATACCTTTTGTGATCCCTCGCAAAAGTAGTTTATCACTGTTGTGCCTGCCAGTTTATTAACAAACTCACATGCTCACCATTAGCGAGTTAGCCTACTGTTTTAATTCAGCTTCAGAATGAATATATCACACAGCCACGCATGGAAGTATGTCATATGCCGATATTTTAACACAGTGCAGCCACGCAACATCAATGTCAATTTCACGAACTTGTGGCGACACATCCTGTTTTGGTAACCGGATATTTCAAAATAAAAGTCTGATTTAATTCAGTTCATATACAAAACAATCTTTTGCGTGAGAACGCAAAACAATTTTGTGAGGTAATGCAAAAGTATTGTGAGGTAACACAAAGATTTTGCGAGATAACGTAAAAGTATTGCGAGGTATTGCGTGGTGTTATGGACTAATTATTTATATCTGTTCTGCCTTGACACTGTCCAGAAATCATATCTTATGATTAACTAGTTTCGGCTGTTTTACTCTATCGGCCCAGACTTCAAGACTCCAGCGATGCAAGACCTCTTTTATTCTGATAAGGTGTTTTCCAGGCTGACAGCCCCGTCATTGGTTAGGTGGTTACAGTTGGCGATCTGTGATTGGTTGTAAGCATGTCACATGATGTTCTATTATCGGCCGCTCTCCGCTAAGGAGCTAGCCACAACACGACAGACTTAGCTGATTGACTTCTGTTTGTTGTCGCTCAGATTAAATCATTTGACGACCATACACGCAGACTTTCTGTGCATTTATTCCAATGTGTTTCTGCATTCTTGGTAAATCTTGCTACCACAGTTTTTTGGCGTTGTCGGCAGGATACCACAGTGGGAACGCAAAAGAAAAAAAATCCCCCCATGTCACCTCGCTGGCTCCGTAGAATCTCAAACCTTTGGTTGAACTCAAAAACGTTTTTAACTCAGAAAACATAAACATCTGGGGCGGATGTTCATGTTGTCTGAGTTCAAATTTTTTTTTTGAGTTCAACCAAAGGTTTGAGATTCTACGGAGCCAGCGAGGTGACATGGGGGGATTTTTTTTCTTTTGCGTTCCCACTGTGGTATCCTGCCG